ACACACACACACACACACACACACACACACACACACACACACACACGCTTCTGTCAGCACGTCATCACTGAAACAGGCAGCCCTGTAAGAGTTTCTGGGCTCCCTGCAAAATGATGCTAGGATTTTGGTTTTTGAGACAGGATTTCTCTGTGTACCCTTGGTTGTCCTGGAACTCACTCTATAGACCTGGCTGCCCTCAAACTCACAGAGATCCGCCTGCCTTTGCCTCCTGAGTGCTGGCTGAGAAATGAATACTTAAAAGGAAAAGTGTATATATTTGGAGGTGCTAACTGAGATATTAGTTCTAACAGTACAAACTAGAAGTTACCTGAATGTCCCATAGTAGAAACCTGGGCCTATAATGATATCCTGCATTATCTCTTAGGCATCTATTAAAGTCATAGAAAGACTTGAAAAACAAGATGATTTTTTGTGGGGTAAGAAATTAGAGCAGGAGTACAAAAATCAAATGCTTGAGCCAAAAGCAAAGACTTGAGAGGTAATATGGAAAGACGACATAATCTATATTTAAATTTAGCAATATTACTAGGCTTCCTTTTTCTAAAAAGTTACCTTTTGCTGTTGGTGTCTCATTTCACAAATTCAGCAATTCAGACCAAATTCTTCAATGATCATAAGGATCATATTTAATGACCTTAGTATTCTGAAGTGATTTCAGCTACTAACTGGGGTATGTTGGGAGGCACAGAGTCACTGTACAGGATACATAGGTATTGCTATTTTAGGTTTTTGTTGATTTGTTTGTTTGTTCAACATAAACTTAGAAAAGTGATGAGAATTGGTGGTGAGATCTGGCAGGAACTTTGCAGTTTGAGGCTTCCTGGTCTAGTGTTGACCTTGATGAAAGCATTCAGGCCTCCTCCTTCATTGAGGTTCAAAACAAAGCTGCCCATCTCCTCATTCTAAAAGAGCAAAGCCACAAGCCACAGGGCAGCATTGCTTTAGTTTCTTTCCTATTGATAAGTGGTACAAGGTTTTATTCAGGCATGGAAGTGGAAACCAGACACCTTTGGACTTAAAGAAACAGGACCAGAGAGGAACTTGGCAGAAAATGACCACAGAGAAGTGGGCTCATTCTTCTCAAATTGGGTGTATTGTGCAGTTTCATTAGAATGTTGGATATCAAGTCCACTTACAGCTAAGCCCAGGCTGGGTATGGACTTATTTATTCCTGGAAAAGAGTGGGGGAGGGAGGTTATTTGGGTAGACCAGAAGCCCAAATTACTGGGTCCATGGCAGGTATGAAAGCAATTTGTAACACTTATACCAAGCATTGGCCTCAGCAGGACAGCTGCATTCCAGCCTTAGGTAGAAAGGTAATTTCCCTTTGTGAGTGATTCACTCATTGCATAAATTCAGTGTGAATACACTGCTGGTCTCTAGTAAGCCCATGAAGAGGGGTATGTTATGGAAGACACACAGGCTTGAAGCGCACTGAGCTGCCTTCCAGGCCTGACTCTGACTCTGACCCTCCATAGCATGGGCTATGGAGAAGCTGCTCTCTGAGCCTTCCTTTTATCCCTCGAGCAAACAACAAAAAGATGGGTATGGTTTGTCCAGACCTTTAACTGACTCAACAGATACCACAAGCTTGATGGAGTTTGTACTAGGAGGGAAGAAAAATGGTGACTCAGAGTGCTTCCAGTGCTATTTAGTACTTAAAAGGAGGGACATTAAGGACAAGGGAAGGTCACTTGGTGTTACCATGAATGATATGACAGACACGCTACCCTGTCTGAAACAGGTGACATTTGAGCAGAAAACAGAAGTCGGTGAGAGGCAAACCTTTATGTGAGCAAAGCATCTCCATACAGGGAGGAGCAGATAGAATGCACTTGAACTGAGAGTGTGTTTGGCATGCCTGAGGGACACAAGTCTAGAGGGTGTCCTACAGGAAAGGGAGAAAATGCTAGATAGAACACGGGATGCACAAGGTAGGAGGGGTTCAAATTAAGAAATAAGAAACAGGCTATGGGGGGAAATGTTGACTACTCAATGAAATGGAAGCTGTCAGCTAGCTTTTGCTGTATAACGAATAACCCTGAGATTTGATGGCTTAAAATCACAGTCTCACATTATTCTTTATAGTTCTATGAGTTAAGTGTGGAGTTTCTTTCCCTCTGGGTTGCCTTATCTGGCATGGGAGGCTGCAGCCAGGCTGTGAGTAGCTGAAAAGCAATGGTATTTGACTTGACCCACGCAGAGGCAGAGGCCCAGAGATCTGTGTCATCGGCTAGCTTGAAGCTGCCATCCCAGGAGGAGGGACAGTGACATAAGTACCTCTCTATCCTCACCTCCTGCATGTCATAGAGGCTTCTTCTACATCTTGGTGACCACAAACTTTGAGTTTCAGAATGCACCATTCAGGATTCTCATATGGGTTAATGAAGCATAAAAGGTTTGGTTCATAAGATATAGGAGCATATTAATTAGCTTAAAAGTCATGTCCATGTCCCCTTGCTGGGAGACCATGGTGTAAGTGAAGAGAGAGAGTTCTCTCGAGTAACTCAGGATCCCAGGAACCATCCCTTGAAGACAGAGATAACCATCTGTAAGTAACAGGAATTAATGTAATGAAGGTAAAACTACCCAACAGTCACTTTTCTTCTCTTTCTTTCTCTCACAGAAAATACGATGCTGGCATGCTTATCCCATGAGACAACTCGGCCCACAAAGCACAAAAACTAAACCCAAACTCAGAGAAGAATCAAGAATGGTGTTTTCCCGGCGTCTACAAGAAGCGCTTTATTTTTCCTCTAGATTCCTTTTCTAAAAAAAAAAAAAAAAAATGAAAACAAACAAAAACAAAACAGAACAACACTAACTGAGATGAACATCCAAACAAATGATACACACTTCAGGCAATCATAGTCCAGCATGTTCTTTTATTAAGCATAGGATGGGAGGAACCAGGGGAAATTGAAGCTAGACACTAATTTGGGAGGACTGAGAGGCCATGATACTCCCTAAGGGGGTTGTTCTCCAAACTGTGAGTGAAGAATGATGGGAACTACCTCCTATTTCCCACCTCAAGAATGTCTCATGCATCTTAAGGACACCTTGCTTCCTTCCTCACCCATCTGTGTATCTAGGGAATGATTGGCAACATGTATTTGTTATGCTCTCTAAAGAATTGCCTGCATAGCTTTGGCAGGGAAGACAGAGAGTGGTACTCTTGGGACCCACCAGCTTCTGCACACTGGTTCTGCTCTCCTCTGATGGCACCATCACATCGGTTCTGTTGGGACAAGGTTCTGAGTTTCTCTCAAAGTTGCCCAGCCTGGTCAGACTTGGTAGGGAAGTGAGAAACATTGGCCTCCAGGACAGAACTCAGCATGGAGAGGTGAACATGTGCTTTATCTTCCATCAATAGGAAAAAGCCAGCCTCGGGTGGCAGTGGTGGCCACGGTGGTACTTGGGTGGGTCAAGGGGTCATGAAGCTATTCCAAAGGTAATAGAGACTCCCTTGTGCTTCTACAGTGAGCAAAGGAACCTACATGTTAACCATGCTTCCAGTTTCAAGCAGGGCCACCACCAGAAAAGCAAGCAGACCCACGACTAACCCTGTCCTAGAAAAGGAATGTTGTCCCTTGAAAGTCCCCGCTTCCCACCCACGGACACCTGACCTTTCCCCATTGATCGCAGCTGTTCGTATTTCTTTTACTCTCATGGCTCCGCACTGGAGGGTTTAGGGGCGCCCCAGGATGATGGGGCTGGCAGTGATGAGGGTCAGAACATGGGTGGGGGTTGGTTTGCCCACAATTATGGGGCTCTGATTAGCTGGATGGACTGTGCAGTCGGTCCTGGATGAGCCGCTCGCTGAGTTCCCACAGGGCCCGGGCTGTCTCTTCGCTCTGAGCCTCTTCCGATGGCAGGCAACGGCAGCAGTTGTTGAAATACATCCCTCCGAGGCCTTCCAGCTCAGGGGCGACTGCACAGTAGACAGTGGTAGCAGCTCCCTGTTGCTGAAAAACAGAAGAAAGAAAAGCACTTGTTTTTAAAAACTGAATGGTAAGACAATGGCAATCTGGCTATCAGGAGATCAGTGAACCTTTCTCCACTTGGACATCAGCGTGGCAAAGGGCTCAGCTCTAAGCACAGGACTGCAAAGTATGATGTGTGATGGCCTTGGAAAAACAAGTCCATAAACTCTGCTTGTAAAGCTGGTGTGACTTTTCACACCTCATAGAGGAAAAAGCTTGGGAAATAAAGATACATTTCAATATAACATGCCAGATGCCATTTCAGCACAAAGAAAAAGATACTGTCCTTCCCAACATGCAAGAACAGATCCATCCAAACCTCTGACTTCTTAATGTACAATATAATTCGACACCAAGAACTTTCTAGATCCTTCTGTCCAAAAGAAACCAACCATTCTTGATTATGGCCCATCAAATGGATGACTCAAATGAGGCTGGTGCCAGATCGTTCCTGTATTCTTTGCCCAGGGTGCTCTTGGGAGTAGGATGGATTTACAATACTGTTGAGATGTTTAACACACACACACACACACACACACACACACACACACACACACACACACACACACACACAGAGTCTCACAAACCCCTACACTGATGTGTTTATTCACCCTGAAAACACTTTTCTAAATGTCATATCTGTTCTGATTTACAACAAGAAATGGCCTAAGGTGGGAGGCATGTTTCCTTACAGCCCATTTCAAAATGCAAGTCTCTATGAACACCACTGATCATTTCTGGTCTCCTCTGGAGTAACAGTTGGGGCTGTAGCTAGGGGCGTGCTCACTGATGGGGCACCATGTCATCTCAACTGACAGAATATTGCCAGAGATGCTATAAAGAGGGCAAGAGCTCACTTTGCTTTGCAAGCCATAATTAAAAATAATAGGTTTCTGTGCAAAGGGAGGCATGGTGAGCAGGGCTCTAATTTAAAACCAGTACCGTTTATCTGCCGTCCTGTGATCATTTAGGTGGAGGACAGCTCTTGATGCATCAACTCGCTATCAGCTGATGGGGAGTAGGGGTTACAAACAAGGACCGGAAGCTAACCACAGATGTCACTTTCAGGAAAACATTAGGGATGTTTGCCAGGAAGGTGAGATGGCTTTCTGTCTCCACCCAAACTTAACCATTTGTTTCTGCCCCAACAGGGTTTAAATTGTTAGATCAGAGTGTCCGTGGAAGAACATCCCCATAAATGACTAGAATCATTAGAGCTAGAGTCACTCTGAGAACCAGGATCCCAAGGGATTATAATGTTAGCCAAGTTCCACAAAGCCTCTTTGGGCTTTATTGGGTGCCGATTTCTGTGTCAGGCTCTGTGGTCACATACGCATTGGTCAAATGCAGCCAAGTGGCCTGACTGTGGGAGATGTATAGAGAAGTGTGACACAGACTTGATGTTTGATAATACAAACTGCTTGAGCCCACTGGCCAGGTCCTACCAGTCCAGGATTTGAACATCTGACTTGTGATCAGAGCTTAACTGAATAGCAAATGGTTAGTGACTTCCTTAAGTTCCACAACAAGCCCCCCCCCCAAACAAACAGTGAATATTTTGGTTTCAGTGATTTCTTTCTTAGCTGATCTCCTTTTACTGAGTTGTTATTGCCCATCACCTTTAGCTGAACACCAGGCATGTGTATCTAAATACCTGCCAGGGGGTTATGGCATTCTTCAGCATCTTGTAAGGAGGAAAGGGCAGCTAAAGTGCCTCTAATCCTAAGTAGAACCCAAGGAGGACCACTGGACTAACTCAAGCCAAACAGCATCTTGTCCTCTGCTCTCTGCAGAGTGAAGGTGGAGACGGAGCTTGGAATAAAATTTGGGCCATCTCTCTTGGATTTTCATTTTATTTTATACGTGACAAATCCAGCCAAGAATAATCAGGTGACTTGCCATAGACTTCTAAGTGGTGGCGGAGAGAATCCAGTCAGCTTACCTCCAGATCCTTCCTTCCTCCTCCTCTTCCCCCAGCCCTAGATGATTCCCATATCAGACAGTGGTTCTAATCTCACAACAGACTGGCCTCTCATCACTTTGCCAATCCTGAGATAAGACCAAGGGAGGCCACTCAGAAAAGTGATAATCAGAGCTCTTCTAAACCTTGTAGCATACATATCGCCTCTGTGTCCTTCTAACATGATGTGATCTGTGTGCTTGCCTGGGTGAAATGGTACTTCTGTGAAGAAATTCTGAGGTCACCCCAATCCAGAATCAAGCCAAATGGAGGAGCAGGAGGAGGTGTATTTGCCATCACTGGAATCTGCAAGTGATCGCAGTTTGTCTGGTTTCACAGAAGTGGCCATTTGGTGACTGTGTTGAAAGACACGCAGTTTTGAAAGCCCAGTCTTCCACACATGCTCATTTCCATTCCTTGCCATTGGTCCTAGGGTAGTTTACAACAACAATTCTACTGCCACTGTCCCCAGCTTTATAAAAGCACACAGAGCAGGGTACAAAGGCTACCTTTGCTACCCCAAAGACTGACGGTGTCCTTTTAGCAGGGCCTCCCTGCCTGAGCCGTGAATGCTGCCGTGGGCTCTTGCTTTATCTTCTTTTCCGGACAGACAATTAAGTGCTGACAATATCTTGTTGGTCCCATGCCCATTACCTCATGGGCTTTTTGGAGAATTTTCTTTTCGGCTGTTCCAGTGGCGACCTTTGAGTGATAGCTTTATACCATTAGATGTGGCAACGGTTTAAAAAACAAGTCCCCACTTTGGGCTCATCAGCTTTTCAGTCTGCGTATCATCAGCCTGAGACGGAACCACATTAGTGAGATCTCATTAGTAAACAAGCTTGTGCCACTGACAGAAGATGAAACATTTTTAAACTGATAAGAAAGGTTTGGTTTTGAGGGTTTTTTTTTTTTTTGAACACTTTAATCACCATCAAATGACTTTCGTGCCACTTTTGGGGGCATCAGTACATAATTCAGAGAAAATGAAAGAGACACAGAGAGGAAATAATGTTAACAACACGTGTAATATTTGAAGGTATGACTTGCCATTTGTCAGCATTGCTTTTCTGATCCATGGTGATAAAATAATAACCCGTTGACATATGAGTGTTGGCTGGAGCTGTGGGTTTTTCCAGATGTTTTTTGTTTGTTTGTTTCCTTTAGAACAATTTGTCAGGTTGCTCATAAGTCACTTATCACAAGAAACTGGGGAAGTAGCATCTCCAACCCATACTGATGTCACTGGGCTAACATGTTAATGACCCAGGACTGAGAATTTCTGGGAAGCCCAGTAGAGTTTTTAATCATACCCCTGTGCCATATGGGCTCTAGTCAAACGTTTGTGAGTGGCCGGAGTTCAACTGTGCCATCAGCCGTTACTATGTAGGTAAAACTGCCCAGGGTTCTTGCTTGTAGATTAAGCTGAGAACATCTTGCTAATACAAGCTCATCATTTTCATTAGGAAATCATTTTTTCAGGTTTGCAATCCCATCTTCCACCTCAGAAAGCTGGGATGCAGACAGGCTGCTGTTGGTAGTTGGTAGCTGAGACCCTGAGACGTAAAGGAGCCATCCTTCCAAAACCCTTTGTTGGGATGAAAGCATTAAATAGCTGACTTCCATCAACATTTATTTGGTAACCGCTGGCCATCAATTTGTAGCTGTCACCACAGGTTACAAATAGATATTGAGTCCTTTGAAGAAAGAGGTAGAGAGGTTTCTGGTGAACAACACATGGTTTAAAAAAACCAAACCAAACCCCACACTGGTATCTGTGATGCAATACTTAGTACTGTGATGGAAAACTCACGTTCTAATAAGAACACATGTTACGCAATTAATTTAGCTTTCAGGTGACTCTACTTTAATATGCATGCTTATTTAAAAGGAAGAATAAATTTCTGTCTTAAAGTAGATGTAACAATGCATTTTAAAATGCACACACACTATCATGGCATATCTATATTCAAAGACTTGAAAGAGCAGTAGATGTTGGAAGATTGCTTTATAACAGACCTATCCACACCAGGACATTGCACAGCAAATGCTGAATTAATCAATTTATGCAAAGGAACGGAACAGAGCATGCAAGCTAGATTAGGCCTGGAGCCTCAAGGGCAGGGAAGGAAGGCAGCTCTTGAGAGGTGGGCAGTGACTGCAGAGATGGATTGAAAGTAATGCGCCACAGCAAGAGTGTTAGGCAAAGAGGAAAGACAGGTGCATCTTCAGACTCCCAAAGCTTTCATTGCTACTCATCTGGGGTCTCGTAAGCAAAGAATATACTTTGTAAATGTGAAACCAGTGGCCCTGTGGACAGACCTCTCTGAGTGGAAAGATCAGTCACAAAGCTGTGGTACAGACCTTCCTTCCCCTCTCCTAGTAATAGTGACACTCCTGCAAGTGAGTTTATAAGACTTCTGTCAGAAATAGGCAACATTGCATTCTGGAGTTCATCTCCAAATGTCTTGGTGCTTGGGACATAGCTGTTCCCACAAACAATTAAAATTCAAATCTCTGGTTCACGAGGCAAAAACAAGCTGTTCCAAGGGATGCTCTGTCCCTATGTACCATCCAAGAACAATATTGTCAGTGGAGAAATTGACCTCAAAGTCCACACTATTCCATCTGTTCAGAAAGCAAAGTGGTTAGTGCAGGAACGAGGCTCATGAACCTTTCTGACCCCAATGAGAGAACACCTCCACTGCTACCAGTACAAGTGAATTACACAATGCTGGGCCAGTGCTTATCAGTAAGCAAGCCAGTTCCACCCCAGTGGGAGGAGGGAGTAGAAGAGAACCAACAGCTCTGCTCTCCAGTGAGTTCCAGCCATAGTGACTGTCCCAGTGGCTACGATGACCAGCATTTATTGATGACTAGCATTTGTCAAGTGCCTGCAGGTAGCTTCATGAGCATCACCTTCTAATCCACAGGCCGTTCCATGAGCCAGGGACAACTAGCGTCTCCATTTTTATAGACCTACTTATATTCAGAGATCAAATGTCACTTGTCCACAGTCATA